AGAGGCAGCAGTGGCAGAGGCCTGCCTCCCTCCCTTCCTTATATTGCATTTAGGCTATGGGGCAGGTGTTAACACTCACACCCATAATCTCAGCAGCACTCATGCCCCAAATCCCAGCATTGGATCATAAATTAATCACAAACTCTAGAAGCCTGGCCCAGTGACTGCATGAAGCTTTGTGGGGACAACTAGACACAAACCATAACATTCTGCCTCTGGCCCCCTAAACACTCATTCACATCCCTTTATGCAAAAGGCATTTAGTCCATCTCTAAGAGCTGCCAAAGTCCTAACAGTTTCAGCATTGCTGAAAAGTCCAAGTCCCAAGTCTCCTCTAAGATCTAAGGCAAACTCTTGGCTGTTAGCCCCTGTACAGATGAAAAATTCAACACTTCTAACATTCAATGGCACAAGAAAAATATTACCATTCCAAAAGGTAAAAACAGCGGGATACAAAGCATTAGGACCAAAGCAAGTGCAAAATCCAGCAGGGCAAACATCAAGTCCTATAGATCCACATGGAACATCTGAAGCAATCTGTGATAAATTGTGAACTCCAAAAGCCTCACATAGCACCACCCTATGCCACTTTTGGGGATTGTAGCTCCCATGACTTCTCTCGTAGGCCTGCTTTGCTTCCTCTTTGCAGCTTTTCTTAGATGCTCCACGTTCCTGGATTTTGCAGTCTTCTGGGGTCTCCACTGCATTTTAGGCTCCTCACAGCTTCATGTACTTTCAGGGACACAATGATTGGCCTCCAAGGCCTTCTGAAATAAGGTGGAAGCCTTCTTAACCTCTGAACTCCTGTATTCTGCATGCACCCAAAACCAATTCCACATGGACGATGCCAAGGTCTGCTGCCAGGTGGAGCAGTAGCCAGGCTTTCTGCTCTCTTGGCTATTGGGGTTGAGAACCTGGATTGTTGAGCACTCTGAACCTGATTCCAAGGAACAAATTCTCTATGATGGTACCATTCTATAACACGGTGCTCTGTGGTTTCCTCCTCAGAGGAAAGTCTTTCACTTCTGCAATTTTGAGACTGCAAAGGGTAGAGGTTTGCTGCTCCTTGTGATACCCTCAGCCCATCTTTTTATTCTTCTTTATGTTGTTCCTTCATGGCAATGGAGATCCTCTCAGTTCTATTTTTGAATTCCACAGTTTTATTGGTGCTTTCTTTCTGGCCAAACTCACATTTTAGTCATCATGCTGGGCTCTTTGCTCCTGATTCTCAACACAAATCTGACTAAAACAATAGCCATGCCGCTGCCTCAACATTTGAATGCTTTGAAATCTCTTTTACCAGATTAATGAGTCCTCCATGCTTAGTCTCGATCTCAGGCAAAGTCTCTGGAGGGGAGTAAAATGCAGACCAGCTTTCTGCCCTACCATAACACACATCATCTGGAGCCCCAAAACCAATGCCTTCTTTCCAGAAGAAACCTCCCCACCTGGTCTTTACAAGCAAGATTTTTTTTTTATCAGATTTCTGTTCTCCTCAGCCCAGACCAGAATCTCCCATGCAGAGCAGCCAAAGGTATTCAAGAACTTCTCTTTCAGGTGACATCTCCAAACCCTTCCTCTCTCTGCCTATAAGCCATTCCCAAAGGCTCTTGAATCACGTGGTCAGGTATAGTTACAGCAATGACCTCACTGTTGGTACCAAATAATGTCTCAGTTACTTTTCTCTCACTGCTGAGACAAAATACTTGATACCCAAAATTAAGGAAGGTGGAGCCAGTCAGCTTAGTGGACTAAAGTGCCTGCTTAGGCAGACTCAGGGACCAGCAGGGGCCACCATCCCCCGTGCAGTGCTGGCCCCACCCCTGGGGAGCATGCTGAGATGGCGATTGAGACTGGGCGTGGTGGCACATGCCTAAAATCCCAGCACTTGGGAGGCTGAAAACAGAAGATTCACTATGAGTCTGATCTGTGTAGTAAGACCCTGTAGACCTTGTACTGATATATTAAAAGAAATTAAGGAAGGAAGCATTTATACCACAGTTGTGAAGGTTTCAGTCCATATTCAGCTAGCTCAAAGGCAGAGTGGCACATGGCAGAGGGCAGCAAAAACAGCCTCTTTCCCTTCTTTATATTGCATTCAGGCTATGGGGCAGGTGTAGCACTCACTCCCATAATCCCAGCATTGAATGATGAGTCAGTCACAAACTCTACAATGCCCACCCCAATGACTGCACTAGGCTTGGGGAAATAACTAGACACAAACCATAAAAACCACACCCAGTTTAAATGATTTTATGGAATTGTTAGTGATTAAATGAATTATACTTATGGGTATTGGTAGCATATTGCCTTCAAAATTAATACAGTCTTGGAGGGTGTGCTTAGTTTTCTGGACTCAGATGAATGCCTCAGAGGGCCAGGGTAGCAAGTGTGTACTCTGTTCAACTCTGTTCTGTGCACACAAGCTCCTTTTATCTTCACAAGAATCCCCTGACAGGTAGGGAAGTAAGTGGAGGAAGGAAGATAAGGAAATGGACACCAAAGGCCACAGGACCAGGGCAGGGAGAATCTTGTATCCAACCAATCGGAACTATTTCAATGTATTGAGAATCTCAAATCCCTAAATTTCTGGAGCCTGGTCCTGGCATCAGCTGGGTGCTTCTCAAGATCTCCTTGGTTCTATGCTTGGCCTGGCTGAAACTTTGTCTGCAACCTTGTTAACCTGGCTCTTGCACTACATTTTCTGTGGAAACTGCATTCTGTGCCTTTCTTTTAGTTTCCTTCTATGATGCTATCTGCGACAGCTCTTTTCTGGAGCTTCCTCGGGTGGTGGAGGGCAGGTGGGTAGGGGAGGGCTGTGGGGAAGGGATGGCCAGTCAACAGGCCTCACTCCTCTCCTCCTGCTAATGTCTGGCAGTGCTGCTGGCCTTCTATCTTGATTACATACTGAACTTCAGCCAGTGATTCCTTCTAAGTCTTGAATTCTGCTAAGCAGAAAGTAACAAAATCCATTGTTTTTAAAAAATCTTTTATTTGGTACAAGCTCTTGCTACCCAACTCAGACTCGTAGTGATCCTCCTGTCTCAGCCTCCCCAGTGCTGGAATTACAGGTGTATGCCACACACCCAGTTTCAGTGACTGGCACAGCGTGCCCAGGGTTCTGGGGCTAGCACAGAATGTGGTACTGGGGATTGAACCCAGATCCTTGCTCTTGCCAGGGAGGTGCTTAGACACTGAGCTATCTCCCCAAGCCCCAAAAGCATTGTTTTAAGAAAGTTGGTATTAAGTAGAATTGTGGTGCAGTAATTTAAGACAAATTCACTTATGGACTTGATACAACAATTATATGTGTGTGTGTGTGTGTGTGTGTGTGTGTGTGTGTTCTCTATTTTCATTAGGGATATGAAGTTTTCGGGATGTTCCTTTTTTCCTAAATAAAACTTTTTTCCCTATCTTTTAAAGATATCATGGAAATATGTTTTCTTTTCTTTGTGCCCAGGCTAGAAATTACTAAATAAATTAAAAGTGCCCTACATCCTATTGTTTTCCTCACTCTCAGTTTTCATCAGCACTGAAGGCTATGAACCCCTCTAATGGTGTCATCAAGCTTGGCTTCTATGGCTGTAGTTCTTTGTCCACCTCTGTGTACTGCTAAGAAGGAACACTGAGAAGTAGGAAGAAATCTGAAGCCAGGATTTCCGCCCTGGCTCTCCTGCTTACCCTGATTCTGCATACACTTCTTACTAGAGCTCTGGCTCTCAGGGATGATAATCATAGCCTTACTGACTTCACAGGCTTGTTTTAAGTTTAAAAGAAAAATTCTATGTGAGATTATAGATTATTTGTATATCATCCAATTCATATACTGAAATCCTAACCTTCAGCATGATGTATTAGAGGGTGCAATGTTTAGGAAGATATTGGCTTATAAGAGTGGGGTCTCTCTACATGCTGCACCAGCTCTGCCCCCGGGTGCGCTGAGCCAGTGACGGAGTCCAGGCCTGGTGGCGCGCACCTGTAATCCCAGCACTTGGGAGGCAGAAATCAGGAGGATCACTACTAATGTGGGCTGTGTAGTGAGACCCTGTACAAAAAAAAGAGTAGGGTCTCCATGGATTTAGTGGATTAGTGGCCTATGAACAGAGGTGTGTGGGATAAATTTTTCCTCACCAGTGCCTGTACCCCACCAGGAACCGCATCAACTGGAGCCTTGATCTTGGACTTTCTTGCCTCCAGAACCGTGAGATATATTTTTGTCATAGCAACCTAAGCTATGACAGAAAACCTTTCATAAAAGTACTGTAAAAATATATTCCCTGAGAAGACCTATTAGCACTTATATTGTTTGATCAGTTTTGGATGCCTGCATCTGGTAATTGAGCAACTACTTTGAAGACAACAGTATGCAATATCATAACCATTGTGAAGTTCCCGTCATCTTGTTTTGAAATTGTTCTGAAATTTGGTATCATTTTCTTTCTTTTTAAAATAAAAAAATCTGAAAATCTGGAGCATTTGACTCAACTAGCCACGTAATAAATGGAATTTGCTAAATTAAAAAAATTCATATATACATGGTCATGTCTTCTGATATGAGTAATGCTCTTCATTCTTCACAGGAAAATGACACTTGCTATCTAAGGACACTTTCTTCTCTTCTAATTGTTTACTTTAAAAGGAGAAAAAAATTAAAAGATGTAACATTTACTTTTTTATTTTATTTTTTAATTGGAAAGAGATTCTTTAGTGGTAGCCATACAATTGACTATACCTTCAGTCTGTGGGCTTTCACGCTAGTTAAGAAAAATATATAACCTAAACATTTTAGGTTATATATTATCAATGTTAGAGTCAGTATTCACTGATGTTATAGTCAGTATTCAATGTTAAAGTATTATCAATGTTATAATCAGTATTCACTGATCTTCTAAAAGTCTGTAAAAAATTTCCAGAGTTGATGAAAACAATTATTACGCTACATCATTTGAAAGAGTAATATAAATTGGACTGCTAAAGACAAGTACACTGAAATACATAAACATCACAGTGTAATACAGCAGCAGCTCATAACCGTTACAAACATTAAATTTAAAATGTTGTTAGAAAAATTGGGAAATTTTCATTTTAGCAAAACATTTTATTTATATACCTCCAACTTCTATGATTCAGTATACAACAAAATACTTCCAAAGGATACAGCATTCAAATGTTTACACAAATAATATTGTCAGTACTAATCAAAGTGATGCCCATGAACAGGAACTGCCCTGCTAATTGTGATTTCACACTGTTTTCTGAACTTCGCTTTGTATTTTAGTTAGCCACGTATGGGGATCCTAGCCAAAATACTGTTTCTCAAAAGTAATGTGGATCATATTGCTTGAAACTTAACAACCATATAACATTGGTAACTGTTTATCTAAACATTATTTATGCACAACCACGAGGATGTATTCAGGCAAAGTGGTGAGGTCATGATGATTTATTGACAATAAAAGATTTACTTTGAAATTCTAATAATCTCTCCATGTGCAGTGGTATCTCTGTTCATGAACGCTTTTGACTACAAACAATTTGGTTTGCAAGCAAAAGTGTTTGGCAAAATTACGTGTTTTTTGCAAATGCTCCCCCAGTGACAAACAGCACCATGACCATCCTCCCCACACCAACACAAATGTGGCCATGTTTTCCAAAATCCTGCAACAAATCAAGTTTGTGACCTGAGGTACCCCTGAAGCTGGTGTAGACAGAGACAGGTATAGCTATACATCACATTTTAAGAAAATAATAGAATACTAAATTATTATTGTGGTGTGTTTGTAACTTGAACTTTGTTATCACTGTGTTATTACAGTTCTACACAAACTAGGCATTTATGTTTAAGTCACTGAATGTTGAATTCCTTTATTATATTATGAACAGACGTGATTACAAAGGTGAAGGAAGCAACAGTAATGCTTTATATTTGCTTTCACTTCTTCAGGTCCATGAAATGATCATTATTAACAGGAACGCATTCATCTTCGATATAAGTACGTCCATTACGCATGGCACATCACTTGTGGTTTTATAACAGATGCATTGCAAAAGTAAATGTAAGAACAGCAAAGCTCTATCTTTTTTAATAAAAGAAATCTTATATATAAGCTAAAAAATATTGAAATATTTTTCACTTTAAAAACTCCTTGAGTGCATCTGACCTGATTGATGCATATATATGTGGAATTCAGCACTTCCTTATTCCTGCAGAGGAAATGGGTTTTTAATATACATGATTCAAGTGGGAAATTTTGCATTTTTAATCCCACACTATTCCTTAGACTGGGAAAAATCTTTTGGAGTAGTTATGTTTATTTCCCAATAACTCTACAGCAGAACACAGTAGTATATTGGTGTAGAAATGCAAACAGCTCTTTCAAACAATATACTTACTATTTTTGAAACTGCCTTACAGAAATTATTTACTTAAGACAAAATAACCCAACATTTCTCAGTTTCATTCATCAGCTTTGTAAATATTTTGTCAGAGCTTTTTCTGGGGTGGGGTGGGGGGAGGCAACACAAAGTGTAAAAGCTCATATGTGTCTATTTTGTTTTAGTTTGGTGTATTTATTAAGAGTAAATTCTGTATGCCTTTGTAGTTCATCAATATGTGCATTTAGGAGCTTCTCAAGTTCCTTTGCTCGCTTCTCTTCTTCCAGCAGGAAATGCTGTGCAGCCAACGAGGCTGGGAAGGACACATCCGGGGGGGACTAGGAGAAAGGAAGAAAAATGGGGTGAAAAGCACAGCGCCTTTTGAAATCTTCCTATTTCCAGGCAGGCTTCATCTCTGACATATTGTCAAACACTGCAGCAGTTAATGAAATAATACATCTTGAGCTGAACCCCTTGCACCACTGTAATGCAGTTTCCACTAATGAAATCCTCAAGGAGCTAAGACAGACAACACAGCGCCATTACACTGAAAAGCTCTAGAGGTGGATACTGTAGGATCCAGCTGCAAATGCAGGGGCAAGACGGCCCCCGGAGAACCTGCCTACAATACGCTCTCCTAATTTGCAAAGCCAGTGATTTTCATTTGAAAATAAGCAATTCCAAAAAGCTAAAGTAAGGGTTATGACAGAATTAGATAAATAATATACATTATAGATTGTATTATATAATAGCCATAATATGACATGATATATATATATATATATATATATATATATATATAATGATTGCCCTAACATGGGGGCTAATTGATACTCGGAGTTAGTTGGATACATATTGCTTGTATAGATCTTACTTGAGAAAATCTGGGTGATGAGTGCCCAGGTTTACCTGTCTTGGCAACACAGAAATGATCTTTAACTGTGACTTGCCGAATGCTGATTTACTGAAAAAGAAAAAATAAAATATCTGGCCATGGAATAAAAAACAATATTAGATAATTTTACAATCCTGAACTTAAAAATTATTTGAAAACTTAATTTAAAAATACTTAGAAAATTTTGTACTTTAAATTTTCCAGTTGTGTGCTTCCTTTACTCTTCTATAATTTAGGTTAGGAAGAATGGGACTTCATAAAATGTTTGAAAGGTCAGCGATCATTATAGAAATGAACCTTGCTCTAAAAAGATGAACTTTTCCAAGCTGGCTGTGCCAAAACTAGCAATCATGGTAGATAATAGTACAGCACCACAAACTTGGTAATGTGGCAGTCTAGCCATAGCCGCTGTGCCAGGTATAGCGTTCTTACAGGGTAGAATATCACAGATGTGGGCACATGGGATGCTGCTATTGATCTGGCAAGGGCATTCTTTCCAGTACTCAACCATGGAAAGGGTCACTGGGCCTTTTTACCAAGATGGCGCTGAAGGCAAAGAGGGAAGCCCCTACCTCTCCCAAAGCTGAAGCAAAAGCAAAAGCTTTGAAGGCCAAGAAGACCATGCTGAAAGGCATCCACAGCCACAAAAAGAAGATACGAATGTCACCCACCTTCTGCTGTCCTGTGGCTTCAGAGGCAGCCCAAATACCCTCAAAGAACGTCCCCAGGAGAAACAAGCTTGACCACTATGACAACATCAAGTTCCCCCTGACCACAGAGTCAGTCACGAAAAAGATGGAGGACAACAACACACTTGTGTTCATTGTGGATGTCAAAGTCAATAAGCACTAAATCAAACAAGCTGTAAAGAAGCTCTATGACATCAGTGTTGCCAAGGTCAGTACCCTTATCAGGCCTGATGGAGAGAAGAAGGCATATGTTTGATTGGCTTCCGATTATGATGCATTAGATGTTGCCAACAAAATAGGGATCATCTAAACTGAGTCCAGCTGGCTAATTCTAAATATATCTATATCTATATCTATATCTATATCTATATCTATATCTATATCTATATCTATCTATCTATCTATATTTTTTTTCTCAGTAAAAAAGCAAGGGTCACTGCATTCACGTGGGGTGGACAGAAGTGCATTATCCACAGCCCTGCCTCCCCCTGTGTTAACACTCTTGTCACATTACTTCCTGAAGGAACCTAGACCATCTGCATAATCCAAAGACTATCACAGAGAACATCAGACATTAATGGGAACATAGTTTAAAATGATCTGATGAGGAGGAAGTGGAGGTGTGACAAAGGCTCAGAAAATGCATGTGCTCTCGAAATTCAAAGGCTTGACCTACTGTTTTTAGTAGTATGGGGCATGTCAGGGCATCTGAGTAAATTACAAATAAGTGCACCTTGAAAATATTCTACCCTTGGGTAGAACAATCTGACTGACTTATTGAGTGACATAAAAGCAAGCCTAGAACACCATGAGCTCCTTACTGACTTCAGCACAGGGTGGAACAACCAAATGACTTGGTAGATCTTGTGCTAGAAAAATATCTGATGGGGAAAAAGGCTTTGTGAATCCCTTTGTAAGTCTCAGTGGAAAAGGTATATTGAAGACAGGATCTTGGACCAAGCTATGCCCTCAGTAGCAGAAACCTGCATACTATTTGTAAAATAATTGCTTCCATGCTGTAGAGTTATGGTTGAGCTAGACAGTCTCGCAAGTGGATAGCCTGTGCGATCCATTCTCTGTCACTGATGACCCCAGTGGAAATTATGAAACGGCAGTGTTTCCCTGTCACCAGTAATAACTTCTGTTGGGACTGAACATTTGACCTGCTCCAAAGAGGAAATATAGCTGAGCTCCTGAAATGCACCATCCCTCCAGGGGACCAAGCAGCCCTGTGGTGGCAATCTGACTACATCAAGTGTCATCAGGTGCCTTACACCTCAGCAAGGCCCGTGTTTTATCCTTACCAGAACTGACACGCACCGTCAGGTTTGCCTTTCCTGTCCACTGGAAAGGCAGCGGTCGGAGAAACCAGAGTAACTGACGTGCTGACATGGGAGCCAGTTTTACAGGAGACTAATGATTCTGGAATCCTACAAGCATCAGATATTAGAATAATGGAACAGTTGGCAGCTTATCACTTTCCTCACTGCGGCTTAGCTAGAATGTGTGCTCGCTTGGAGTCTGTAAAGATCAAAGTCTTGTCGGTGCAGAAGCTGTAGTCTCCATAGAGATTCTCATGATTTTTAAACAAGGCAGTTCATATTATTTTCTTTATTGGGGTGGAATTTTATTTTATTTAGAAAATGTTGGCATTTTATGTTGAAATAAAGACAAAATGAGTGTGTTGGGGCTCCAGAGATCTCTAAGCCTTCAAACATTCATGGTTTAAAGGTTTCTCTTTTTTGCCATAATAATTTAAAAGTAATTTCAGTCTTTATCAATATAAAATGACAGATTCCAGAAAACTGTGAGAGTACTCATAGTAGATCCTATCCTAATAAAACATATTGTTGTGTATTAATTTATAACATGTATCTCATATTAGTTTATCATGGAGTGGCACCAGAAATTATATAATATGCTTAGAATAAAATGAAAGGATAATTACTAAAAGCACTAGTATTTTATGAGATGAAAACTACATCTTTTTTAAAAGCTTTGGTTTTTATGTTTGATAGGTTACAAAGTAGAAAATTCTAGTAGAATAACTGAAATTATAAAAAAAGAATCAAATGAAAATTCAAGAACTGAAAAATACCCTTCCCACTTGATTTATGAGGTCAACATAATCCTACATAAGACCTGACAAGAATACTAAAGGAAAATTTCAGGCCAATTTATCTTAAAACCACATAAAAATTCTAAACCAAATAGTCATAGACCAAATTCAATGATATAATTAGGTTCATTCCAAGAATGTGAAACTGAATTAATCTATAATCAAGACAAATTATCACATTAATGGAGCAAAAGAGGAAAATTATATGGTTATTTTAATACAGGCAAAAAAGCATTTGAAGCCAGACATGGGGGCACATGACTGTAATCCCAGCACTTGTGAGGCTGAGGCAAGAGGATCACTGTGAGTTTGAGGCCAACCTAGGCTACAAAGGGAGTGAAAAGCCAGTCTGAACTGCCTAGTGAGAACCTAACTCAAAAATTAAAAAAAAAAAAAAAAAAAAAAAAGCTTTTTTTTTTTCTTTTTTTTGGCGGAACTGGGGATTGAATTCAGGCCCTTGTGCTTGCCAGGGAAGCACTTATTCCACTGAACCATCTCCCTGGCACCTCCCCACCCCCCAAAAAACAAGCATTTGATAAAATTCCCTATATATTCATGAAAAAAGTCAGCAACCTAGGAATAAAATAAAATTCCCTAATCTTCTAAAAGGAATCTACCAGATAGCCACAGATTGTGTGTCATTCACATAAAATAGGATATTACAGAGAAATAAAACGCAACAAATTACAGCTAAAGGTACTGGATTTAATCCTCAATACCACAGAACCCAAACCAAAACCAGACCCCCAATATAGATGATGATGAATCTCAGAAACAATACTGAGCAAAATAAGTTAGACTTCAATGAACACATATAGTATAACACAAGTAACACAAAATTCACAAACAGACAAAACTAATGACATCAAAAGTCAGGATAGTGGTTACCGTGGGAGTAAGCGGGAGTGGAAAGGTACAAGAGAGGGGCATCTGAGGGACGGTAAGGTCCCTCTGTTACTTGGGTGCTTGGGGGTCTATATAAATGATACTTCAAAGAGGAACAAAAGAGCCCTTGTTGGTCCTTAAACTATACAGATCCTTGAGGGGACCTGGAATATCCAAGGATGAGTCCCAAATACTTGCATTTTAAAAAAGCACCACCAGGAATTCTGCCCAGCAGTGGAGATGAACCATGACTAAAATACTTTATGGCAAGGTTCCGGGTCCTTTCCTTTCCATAGATAGGTATGGCCTCAGACCTATCAACAGGACTCATCCCGGGGTCCTGCCAAGCAGCGGCACTGTGAAACTCCTGTTAGTGCGCTGCTATCGGTGTAAAGGTTACCACCCCTTAGAGGGAGCGCAGCGCAGCCACTCACCAGGGGGAGCACTTCATCATCACTGGCCAGTGAACTCGTTTCTTTGGTGTGAAGCGTCAAGGGTGGCCATGGTGGCACTGCGCTTCCCTTTGGCTCCCAGTCTTGGCCACACCTAAAATAGAAGAAATGTTTGTCATTATTCCTACCACACATGCTTCTTTACAGAAGGAAATAAGGATTTCTCTGATGTCCTACAGGAGAAAACAACAAAATGCTTGGGTTTATTGTCTGATTATTATTATTATTATTTTTTGGTACCAGGGATGGTACTCAGGACCCTGTGCTTGCTAGGCAGGTGCTTAAGCCACTGAGCTGTCTCCCCAGCCCTTGTTGTCTGATTATTTCTTTGAAAATGATTTTCCTGAATAATTTCTACTTTATTTGGAAGACAATGAAGCAGAAAACCTAGTAAGTTTTAGATATTATGCTATCTTTTTAATTACTTATATTGTTCCCCTTTCTGTCTTAAACTTTATCTCTTAGCCGTTTACATAACTGAACTTTAATTTGAGAGAAATCGTACAGTTAACATGACTGCCATGCTAAATAGATACAGGCCTAAATATTCTTTTAAAATTCTCTATTACACTTAAATGCACTGGCTTTCTTGACAGAATTATACTTTTTTGATGTTAGATGAGTTTTGGCGTAATAATTCTAATTTTTGTAAATTTTTAATATCTTAAAAATTTATAGCATGTTTTCAGTTTGTATCATTTCCCAAACTTCTCCACTTACAAGTTGGCTTTATCGCTATCACTAAAATTTTATCACACGAAAAGGCTGTTAAAAGGGTTGAATGATTGGCACATGTGAAACTCTTCACTATAATACCTAACACAAACATTAACTAAAGTGTAGGTGTTGTTATTTTAAAACCCGTTCTGATCTTTAAAATAGCCGCAACAAATGAACAGCGTTCATGGTGAGGAACATGCGGCCGGAACATGAGGTTATTTCTTCTCTTCATTTACTTTTCTATTAGAATAAACTGCCAAGAAGCAAGGATTTTGGACTTTGGACTTGAATTCAGGTTTCCTTGGCTTCAAATTCCACAATTTGTACAAAAGTCACGATGAAGAATTTTTTTTTTATTTGTGTGTATGTGTGTGTGTGTGGCCAGCTCAGCCCACCGGGGGCGGGGCTGGCTGGCATGTGGTGCTGGGGGATTGAACTGCGGTCCCTGTGCTTTGCTGAGCTTGTTCTAAGTAGGTGCTTTAGACCACTGAGCCATCTCACCAGCCCCGATGATGAAGAATTTTTTGCTTGTGTTAAAGTAAAAGATGAGACTGAAAATAAAATACTGAGATTTTAAACTTTGGTCTGTTGACCAGACAAGTAGCAATAAAACAAAGAAATCAATTTACCCTGAAATTATGCAGAGTTCTAACCGTCTGGGATGCTTAGGATTAAAGAAGTATCTTTCATGAAGATAATTTTAAATTTATTAAAATTATCAAAAACCATGAAAACATAAAAATCTGTTCAATTTAAGATTATTCGTTTTTACTAATAATCCAAATTCCTCAGTGCTAAGCATTTTAAAACCTTCATAGTTTGACACAGTGAGAAACATCCACATGTATTTCTCTGTTCTTATCCAAAGACCAATTTATATAGACTTGTTTCTTATTATGCAAACATTTGCAAGGCTATGCATACAAACAGCGATGGAAGTTAAGTGAAGCATCTGTAAATTAGTACATGAAAACAAACACAACATGTTTCTCATTTTTACTTATCTTGAAATAAATCTGCCCCCCTTCTCCCAACCATAATTACCATGGTAACAGAACAGCAAATTAAACTGAAGTAACATGGTTTATGATGCGCACGACAAGAGGAGACATCTCACAATTCAGACAGAAGGATCACAATGGCATAGGCCATCTGTGTATCATCTCGAGCTGAACCTTCTCATGTGAGTGAGGCTACTATCTGAACTTCAGAGCACAGTGGAAAAGCCAAGGTAATTATCAAAGTGCTTCAAGAAATGCATCTCTCTGCACTCTCATGATACAGAGAGTTCAGGCAAAGTATTTGTTCTAAATTATCTAGATAATTATCTCAATTATCCTTTTTGCTATGGCTGTATACAGTTTTATGGTGTTCATTACTAAAAGTTCTGCAGGAACATTCTTTTGACTAGCGGATCAATAAAATCTGGAGGTGGAAAGGAAAGACGTTATGAAGTAAAGTACTTTGGATTTAAATCATCTTTATATCTGACAAGTTCTTCTAGGATCTAGCTAATCAAATACTTCATAAAACTATCTTTAAACATGCTACCTATATCACCTTAAAAGTTGTTTTAAAAATTATTTCAGAAGGCTTTTCACATCCTTTCCTCAGCTAATCTGTTCCATCAGCGTTTCCGTGGTCCTTCTGGTAGGACCCAGGTGCTCTGGCCCACCGAGCCGCTGTGCTCCTGCATCAGCTCGCTGGCCCTCCCAGGCGCGCACCCCGTGCTGTTGCCTCCTGCCCCACACGGGGCTATGGTGTGAGGCTCCCATCTTCAACCACGCTCCTGACTTCTCCAGCCTCACCTTCCACTTCCCACCCTGTGAGGTGCTTGCTGTTTCCTGACCTGGATCCTTTGGCTTGCAGGGTTTGGCTTACCGAGCAGCACCAGGCACATTTTCTCAGCTTCCTTCCCGCTTCTTGGCTATTCATTCACTGACAAGAGATCTGATGAGTGATTATGACCAACCTGCTGACTCTGTGGCTTTTGGGTATTAAAAACTTCTAATTTATTATCTAGACATGAAGCCACTTGAGTGATTAATGTCTGTGATAACTAACATCGGCCCAGGACATGACACAACCTTTAAAACCATAAATTCACTTTTAAGCATGTGTCTTATATACATATTCCATTTATTTAAAAATTGATTTACCATTAAAATTATCTACATCTTAATAGTTCTGGATGCCACACTCCAAATTAGCTTTTAAACTATCCTGAAGCTTCAAAACTCTAACTTTTAAGACAATACTCAAAATATCCTAGCCAAATTCAGTTACATTTCATAAGTTTTTTTTTTAAAGTGCTGAGTAACTATCTTATTGGAAAATAAATGCTTTTGGGATATCCTGAAGTGCTTCCCATATTAAGTGAATGAATATGAAAAACATATCTCTTCAAGAAAGAATGAAAATCGGGCCGGGGAGATGGCTCAGTGGAATAAGCGCTTCCTTGGCAAGCGCAAGGGCCTGAGTTCAATCCCTGGTTCCGCCAAAAAAAAAAAAAAAAAAAAAAAAAGAAAGAATGAAAATCGAACACCAAGCTGAGTGAATAAATTATTACTTAAATGATATACTATACAAATCTTCCTCAGTTTCGACAAAACTTTCCTTACGATACAGACGTTTAGATTTGTAGAGCATTACATCACATGTCTTTACCTACAAGGTTCCCTCTAAAATAGTTCAGTGAGACCTACTCTGACAGGTAAAGATGATTTGCATGTTTTCTGATTAATTTATGCCTTAATACATGTGTCATACATAGTCACTTGCTGACGTCACTGAGCGGTGCTGCGAGGGAAAGATGCCGTCTTGGCTTGCTAAAATTAATAGGTGTAGGCTTTCCAGCTCTCCTCTGCTGAGTTCAGTGTCCTTGCATTTCAGCAGCTCTTCCCCACAGTGGGTTTTATATGGTAATAATTTATTCAGAACATTTGAAATGCTGTTTCTGTTAAAAACCAGGTCATCGGAGAACACTGAAATCAGAGGAGGCATTAAAACAAATTTAATGAAACTTTCAGCAAATGCAACTGGCAGGACATAAGCTTTGCAGCAGGAATAGTGGGTCCAAACCGCTTATTAAGATAATCTCCTGCTGCGCGCTTTACCTCTTATGTTGCTTTCTCTGCCCCCTACTGTCTTGTTTTCGTTAGGCACTTTAACACATTCTGTGCTACCCTGACAAAGAAAAAGGGGGCAATGGAAACAAGCAAAATACTTTGAAAAACATAATAAAAGGCTGAGAAAATGCCTTTTTGTTTAAATAACACCTGGTCCCTTTATCTATGGCTTTCAAAGCTACTTCTGCAGCCAGGAACAGCAAACACTGCACTGCACCCCGCAGGGCTCAGTACTGCGCAGGGATGGACGCAGCTCACAGGAAGTGCCTTTTGGGGCCTCTCCCCCTTTTTGGCACTGTGATGACCAAACAAAAACTGCATTTTGCAAAGCACTTTGTAAAACATTTATTAGCTATTAGAAAACATATTCTTACCGCCCAAGTCAAGACAAACCCCTTTGGACAGAGCTCTGTTATGGGGCCAATTAATGTGAGCAGATTCACCAGAGAACTAGTCCATACGGCAGCAGTCCAAAGGCCTCTTCAGCCTCCAGCTAGCTTTACACTGTGGCCACCGCCTCTGCCAACACTCGCCGGCAGCACCTTACCCCAGCAGTCCACTGCAGAGCCTCCATCTGCCTCCATGCCTGGCCGTAGCCACCTGGAGGTTATTAATTCAGGGCTTCTGAGTGCTTGCTATTTAGTGGAGCAGACGAGAATCTGCCCTTCCAAAGCACAAAGGGATGAGGTTCGTTGAACAGACATGTTTTTAATTATGTCCCACAGACTTTGTCGCCTGTAGACTGATTGTACTTAGTTACCAAAATGAGCCTGATATCACCTCTGCATGCACAGGACTATCTCTGAAGAAATGCCAGATCCAACTACTAGTCTGTTCACCAAAATACACATTTTAGGTGTTGCCTGTAATTTTGCCAGTAATAATATCAGTAACAGCAGCTAATATTTATTGAATTATGTATTCTGCATGGGTTGTCTCTTGTAAGCCCCATAAGAATTCTACAAATTGTTATCCCGATTCGTTAAATGGGAACTTAAGGGCAACAAAGGTTATGCAATTTTTTTTTTTTACAGCCATCAATATTCTGTTACATGAAAGCAGTAGGTAAAAGATTTTTATGCTAAGTATCATAAGTTTCAGAGAAAACAGTTGTACTGAAGTTGAGTCTGGGTCTATAAATTCAGCTTTTCTGAGGGCCATGGAAGGTTAACTCGCAGTGAACTTCGTGGTAAGGGCTTGAAGAAATTCTATACAAAAAGAAATGTAAGTGTTGCTGAGCATATCCCGATTTTAAGAAAACAGCGAAAGGCCTTCATAGATGGTTTAGGCTCCATAAATGTTTCATTATAGTTGAAGCTATTGGCCTTTTTATGATTGATGTATTTTCCTAAATTTTAAACTGAGATATTTTAAGGAGTATGGGCATACAATGGACAGCTGATACTGACTTTCCTTACACTTGCCACTCTGAAAACCTCTCCTACACACTCACAGATTTCCTCTATGAAGTGACCAATAGTTTGTCACCATGGCTACAACATCAGTATAAAGTTATACACATTTTGAAGGTAACTCCAAAGTAACATCTTCCTGTATTTTCTGCCTTGTTTGAGCAGAATACCCAGTGAATAAATTCTAGTCTTCTCTGTTCCCATGATGTAAAAGATAATTCACTTGTACATTTGTGTAGCGTCACAGCTTGAAGGTTAGTGCGCGGTACTTATATAAAATAAATACCTATCAATACTAAATAAATTTTAGGTGAAGGAAGAGAAGTATAGGAAGTTATAATCTGATTTACTTAATAATAAATTTCAATTTAAATGTTTTTCAACATAGAATGGAACTAGCATACCCATCTTCATTTTTCTCCATTTTTATTTGGCTTTGATAGGCATATATTCCTGCTTCTTCACACGTATTCTGATAGGGCCATGCTGATTTTCCATTGACGTGAAGTTTTGCAAGATCACTTCGGAGCTTTTCATTCTCATATTCCAGTTTGCTGATAGATGTATTATTTGCATGCACCTTATTAGTGAAGTCCATACTCTAGAAAATAAAACGAGTTACCACTGAACAAACTGACCTGGGCAGGGTTGCGGATTCTCTGCATGTTTGGCCATGGGACGGGACGGCCCTGCGTGGCAGCCATGAGGCTCAGTTCTACTTCTGCTTCCCCGGGGCTCCCTCCCCTCCCTCCACGTTCTCGCCACACATAGAGAAGCCATGCAGTAGTGTGCACTTCAGTTCAGGAAATACTTACTGTTGTCTATGAAAAAGCTGGCCAGATTCCAAGCCTTTCATGTCTTTGTAAGGTACACCTGGTAGTATTGGTTAATAATGGAAATAAAGTACATTTCAATTTTTTTTTTTTTTTTTGGTGGTACCAGGGATTAAACTCAGGCCCTTGTGCTTGTCAGGCAAGCACTTATTCCACTGAGCTATCTCCCCAGCCCTACATTTCAATTTTAAAAGAACTTTTTTGGGATTGAAACAATTCATATGAGTGTAGAAAATAAGGAATATTAAGAACAAAACAAACGTTCCATACTAACACAATTTAGGAATAACTTCCATCAATATTCATCTCTTTCTCGTCTTTTTCTGTTAATAGGAAATGCAATAAATATCAATATAATATAAAATGATAATATGTAAGTATTTATAGGAAATACAGTCTAAATCAAATATACATATAAATACACATAAAATCATGACAAAATTATAATGTAAAAATGTAATAGAGTTTTGGGAACTGTTGTTTTCCTCCTGAATACTATATATAACTGAAAAATAAGGTGTTTGTGGTTTGTTTGGTTTTTTTGGTACCAGAGATGCAGCTCAGGACCTTGTGATTGCCAGGCAGGCACTTATGCCACTGAACTATCTCCCCAGTCCCTCAAAGGGTTTTAATGACTGCATTGAAGAGGTATGAATAAATTAATTTAGTCATCTCTGTGTTATTGAAAATTTAATTTATTTCCAAATTATAAATAATACTGTGCTGACTTCCTTGTACACAAAGCCTGATCCACATTCCTTTAAATATATTCCAAGGGTTGGGACCACAGAGTAAGTTATAGGAATGATTGTGGAGGACACAAATAAAACAAGCCAGTAATTTCCCTCTATAAATTTCAAAATTTCTAGTCTCATAAATTCTTACCAATAATGTATTAAAAAGCCTATTTTATCACACTCACAATAATTTAATATTACTATTTCATTAAATTCTAACTTGACAGAAGCAAGGGCAATTTATTAATTGCATATGTTTTCATATTTCTCTGGCAATTTTATTCCATCATTTATCAACTGTCTATTTGTATTCTTTGCTCATTTTTCCATTAGGGTGTTTGAGCTAGAAGAATTTCTTTTAATGTCAGAGACAGTAATTCATTGTTTCTTCAGTTGTATGAAAGTCTATTTTTATGTGATACTGAAGTTTTAATTTTAGTATACGGTGTTTTTATCCAGATAGTTTTTGTGCTTTAAAGTTAAATCTGTCTTGTTCTTTTGTGATTTATTTGCTCTTTATTTTCTCCTGTTTATATTTTTAATATATTATATTTAATTCTTTATTTGGAATTAATTTTGTCTAAGTGGGAGAAGAGATTGAAATAATCATTTCAATTACTGCAATCACATAATGATTAAAACACCAATTCCTTAGTGCTGGATGAGGCAATAAATTATATACTGAACCCACGCAGACTGATGCCCGACCCTGGACCCCTCTGTCCCACTGCCTACAGCTGACACTGTGCCTCTGTTCCACAGTTTGGAGCAATGTGGCTCCACAGTGGAGTTTTGCTATCTGGTAGGGGCCACTCAACTTCAATGCATCATCAGAAGAGCAAATAAAATATGTTTAAATCACACAATGAGAGACTTGGAGTCATAGAGATTTCTGTAGCTGTTTGAAGTAAATTGTTTTAAGTAGTTTCCTAGGAAGTATAGGCAAGTTTTAAGAAGTAGGCTATAAGCTCACAATACAAATGCAGAACTGTATGTAATACTCGGAGTGCAATGATTTAAATGCTGATTAACTGCACAGCTGCTGACTAATTCTTCTGATTCCAGAAGAATATATTTTTGCATAAAAAGCGCACCTTAAGTACAGTATCTCTTTTGTTTTTTAAAATTAAAAAATATTAGTACATGTTTTCAGAACATAATGATCCATTCATCCTGGGAGATACATGCAAATAACAATGCTTTTCTACTTCCTGTTCTCCTCTCCTAAAATAACTTTTTGTGAACCTCCAAATATCTATGATTCAAAATTCTTTAGATTATAAGTGATTAGAGCTTAGAGCCCAGAAGAAGTTCTTACATGAAGGATTTTGAGTATCATTTATGTGGGTTACCACCTCATACATAAAATTATTCTAAATTAAAAAAAATTATTCTAACTTTGAAAATTATTCATATACTATCATATTCGTATGGACACCAATGCTCACACAAATATATATATATATATCTCATTGTGAAAATGCTCTAAGAGGGCAAACTTTTCCACAAAATAATATGGGATTGATTATATTATCCTCAAGGTTATTAATTAAGGTGTCCTTTAGAAAAGGTGAACATTCAAAGTATTTCTTTGTTTTTTAGGCATTTGCCTTTAGGAATTCTCAATATTTGCTCTTTTGGGACATCCAGGCAGATAAAAGAACAATCTGTATTCTTTTGCTTTAAAAGAGAATGGATTGCTTATTCTAAAATTAGAATAGATATTCAATAAATATAAAGAAGATACAGTCTTATAAATTTTGCCCTCCAAAAAGAAAAAAATTCACATGGTCACATCTGGACTCTCTTACTTCATTTCTTTTTAAATCTTTTATCTATTTGGTACAGGGTCTCGCTACTCAGCTGGGACTCGAAGTGATCCTCCTGCCTTAGCCTCCCCAGTGTTGGGATTACAGGTGTGTGCCACCACACCCAGTTTAGAGGCTGGCATGGCATGCCCGGGGGTCCAAGGCAGACACAGCATGTGGTACTGGGGATTGGACTTGGGTCCTTGGGCTTGCCAGGCAGGTACTTAGACCACTGAGCCATCTCTGCAGTCATTACGTTTTTTTCTTGAATACTTTGCTAGTGATTTTAGAAATGTATCCTTCATTGTATAATTATCGTATGAAAATACACAATAATTAAGCCTACCACTGTAATTTTTTTCAGTTCAGGAGTGTGAACCCAGGGCCTCAAGTCATGCATGCCAGGCAAATGGCCTACTGCTGAACTCCACCCTCGGCCCTACTTACATGTTTTTGATGGGTTCTTGTATGTGGCCCTATTACTGAATTCTTGTTTCTTTTTTAGAGTCCCAAAGTTTTATTCATTTCTTTGCTCTTGAAACAGCAAAACCTTTTGGTGTTTATTTACTTGGGAAGACTAGGATGAGGCCAGTTGAATTATTGAAATGTCTAAATAACTGCATTTTGTATGTACAGTTTTTGTTTTATATACTTAATAATTAGTCTAGCAAAATATTTCTATAGTAAGATATGCTTTAATTATGTTTTATGGTTAGTATTTTAGTTTTCAGTATGTAAATGGGTGTTTTAATCACAGTGAGAATACATGTTTTTAAAATTTCTGGTCTTGGTGAGACCTTTTGTCCTGCCATGCCCACCATACCCACTCCAGACCCAGTCCAGGCCCGGCGTGTGTATGTGACCATCCGCACACTCCTCCATCAAACAGGCCTGGTGTGAAACTCTGCTGCGGAAGTCCCTACAGAGACATGAGGAGCCAGACCACCCAGCTAATCCAGGAGCTTAACATCCTGCCAGAGGGGCAAAGTGGGTTCTCTTCGATGGGCTGCAGCAGGAAGAAGCTGAGCACAGCAGCCAGACCCAAGCCAGGCACATCAGGATGAATCCAAACCTGGCAGATCTGGGCCCGGTAAGCTGAGACACTTTGCTAGACCCAGATCTATGGGAGTGTCCTCTCTCATTCTCTCTTGATCTACAGAGGGGTCAACAGGTAACTGGGTGAACTAGCCTGCCTGGGAGACCCCAGGTATGTCAACGGGAGGTGATCAGACAGAACTTAGGGGAACTAACTTAAATACAAATTCCAAATTTAATATCTGCTTAGCTATACAGACATAATGTTTGCTCTTACTGTCTAAAATACAAACCCATTAGTTACAAAAGTTTGTCAACTGCTAAATATCACTACCCATTATTAGTGTTCCTAATTGTAACTAAAATTTGTACATTTTAAATAATTGTAAATTATTCCTATTTGTAGGAACAAATTGTTCTCAATTGTAAATAAAATTTCTGGTCTTTATTATTATTTTTAATATTTATTTATTTATTTATTTGATACAAGGTCTCAGTAAGCAGCTTGGACTCATAGTGGTCCTCCTGTTTTCAGCCTCCCCAGCATGGGAATTACAGGTGTGCACCACCATGCCCGGACTTGGTGGCCAGCATAGTGTTCCAGGGTCAGCATGGCATGTAGTACTGGGGATTGAACCCTGGTGCTTGCACTTTCCAGGCAGGCCAAGCTATCTTCCCTGCCCTGTGAGAATACTTTTATATTACCATTTTATTTAGCTAACTTTAAAATAATCGTTTAAAAAATCACTACAAATTTGAGTTCTGATAAAGTCAAATTTTATAATTTTCTTAAAACAATACAGAGGGTAGCCCAGTTTGGGACCATGCATTGGAACTCAGTAGAGGCTTGGTTTGGGACCCTGTGGCAGAATTCCCTGCAGAGTACCTAGGTGCAAGACCCAGTAAGCTAAACCAGGAGCAGAACATCTAGCCAGTGGGGCACAGCAGGTTCACTACCATGGGCCGTAGCAGGAAGAAGCCGAGCATAGCAGCCAGACCCAAGCCAGGTCCAGCTTCTTGAGTTCGAGTCCTGTAGATCCCAACCCAGTGAGCTGAGGCATACTGCTAGGCCCAGTGGAGCTCAGACCTAGACCCAGAACTAGAGGAGCATACTCTTGAGACAGGTGGCAACAGGTAACTGGGGTGAACTAGTCTACCCAGAAGATTCCAGGGACATCAAGGGGAGGT